AGTTCTGATTGGCTGAAATATTTTACGAGGAAGGAGAGTACACAAAACGCATGATTCAATTATTAAAGGTTTTGTAAGTAGCTTTTTTCTAAAATTTGGCACTCCCACCCACAGGGATGGGTTATGGAAGCAGGGGAAAAAGGGGAAGAATTCAATCACACTTCCTAAAATGGGAGCTAAATTCCATAAAAAGGTGTGGATAATAGTGAATGGTGGTATTTTAAAACAAAAACGAATTTGATTTAATTATTTAATTTAAACAAGCTTATTTGCATCGAATATAACCCCCGATTGTTATTGAAAATAAATATTTCTATGTTATACCAAACTTGCGTACGTCAGATAGCGCATAACTCGAGAATGGATGGTCCACTTTCAGCTTTTTTTTTGTTGTATTTGTTTGCCAGATGATGGATATGAAGAAGCTATTTGTTTGTGGAAAATATGCAGTATTTATTAAACAAAAAAAAAACGGCACATAAAAAAATTTGGAGCTTACGTTTCCTTCGCGGATATGGCTCGATTGTTTCGAATATGGTAATTCGAATTCTTTGATGTCGCACTTTTAATATTCTGGGGAGACTATACAACTGTCAGAATATTAACCATTCGCCGGGTTGCCCGAAAAAAAAATTTGAATGATTAAAAATATCAAAATATAAAAAAATATAAAAATTTTCGCCATAAAAAGGCGTTTGCATTGTTCAACTTTGCATTCTACTTTCAACTAATCGCTTTCAACAAAGTTGGTCGCCAGCCAACATTCGCCTCGTGCGTAAACCTTTTAAGTGTGCAATTACATACATCGCGCCATTGACTAAACCGAGCTGTCGTGTGACGATTGGGCCTATGGATGCGGTTTGGCAATATTATATTGCGTCAAAGCCTCATTCGGAGACACCAGGAGTGTATTGTGGAGGACAATACCTAAATACCTTCGTTGGCTCATTTACCAAAACCATTGCATGCTTTACTTTACAGCGACTTGGCAGAATCAAGAGGTCTCCACGAATATCGACAAATATATTTCGGCATTTAAGAGAATTTCGTCTCTTTAGCCTACATTGAATTTCTGTAGTCCCACGATGCTCACACATTTTGTCTTGTTGGCGCCAGCGAAAGAAGAACAAACATTTCTTCAAATTTAAAAAGTAAAAATTTCACTACTAACAATTTAAAAATGTTCTTAAAACTTGCAAAGATATTTGGAAAAGAAATATCACTGTTTTTGTTTTTAGGAGTATGGTGGGAGTGTCATTGATAAAATTAGAGCGAGAGAAAGTTTTTCTTACAAAACCTTTCATTATTGAATCATGCACAAAACGCAGAAAATATAGTTGCCGTATAGCATATTATAGGAATCCTAATCAAATGGGCATTTTTGATATAAAATCGTGCAAAGCTTATTATAACAACATAAAATGTTATAACTTCACGTGAAACTGGATTAACATAATAATATTCGTACAATAGTGACAAATGAAATTTGCTGGTGATTTTATTCTTGAAAGTGAGTAGAACGCACTCGCGTATTTTTGAATAAAAAGCTTCATAACATTGCCAAAATTTCGCTATTGAAATTGCAATTCAACTTTAGACATACGTTAAAACCTAAATTATATTTTTCAGTGTAATTTTAGCAATCAAAAACAGCGCACTTAAAATTTTAATAATTTAGAAAAAACTCAAAGACGCAGAAAAAAGCACAAACTTCGACGCAAATTTTCAAACGGTAAATATCAGGGTTACACATATTTGAAATAAAACGTGTTGTATTTTTGACTAAAATAGTGTATTTTTATTTGATAATATTTTAGGAATGTGGCAACTCCAAAAATTTAACCATCTACGTCATCAAGATGGCGGCCATGGCTGATGTCGTAACCTTGTATTCTATGAACCTTGAGTACGTACGAGATTTACGCTCTCTGATGTATGTCTAAAAACAGATAATCTGCCTTTCCTGAGCGAAAAAAATTCACCCGAAAATTTGTCATCCGCCCATAACCATGGAAACCACAAGTGAAAAGTAAACCCGTTCGGGGAAAATGAAACTTAAAGCCTGATTACGGCAAATTAACGTAACTTAACGGAACGTAGAACTTAGAGAATCAAAATGAAACAGATTTCGACGCGGCATTCAGTTACGTTAAGTTTCCGCTGTTCAATTATAAGGAACACCCATTTAACAGAATTTTCTCTCAATTCGTCGGCTATGGTTTTTTTTTTTGAAGTTTGTCAATTGTTCAAAGTTGTTATTTGAGATTGAAAATGAGAATGTGTGTGAGAGTTTGTGTGTAAAATTTTAAAATTAAATTGCTTGCAAACGTCAAGAATAGGTTCATTCCTTATCTTTTTGGACTAAAATCTGAAAAGTGTCAAAATGCCAGAGCGTAAGCAAAATGCGCTCACTAAAAGAGAATAACAGGAAAAGTAAAGGAACGCAAAAAACCAAATTTTTAGTCCAAAGAATGGCAACAACAAAGCTAACGTCAAATAAGAATGGAAATGTATGTACAAAACACATTCACACAAGCACAAGCACAATAAACACTTACTATATCAATTATTTTTTGCCTCCTTCCAATTTCAATTCACTTTTTTTACTTTTTAGATTATTCTCACTTTTTGCGTATTCTTTAATTTCCGTTAATTTAAATTTAGTTGAGTTTGACACTTTTCAGGATTTTGCCAGAAAAAATTCTTCTGACTAAATCTGACTACTTCGGACTGATGAGAGTCACTCTCACTGGGTGTTGCTCTCTCATTTTAGCTGTCATTTCCGAGTTAAGGAACGCTTTTTGGACTAAATCTGACTACTTCGGACTTTTTCTGACTATTTCTGGGAGATAAGGAACGCTCCTAATTTGAAAAATGCCTCTCAGTGGTTCTACCTTCCTATTTTTTTTATCAAGATACCAGCCAGGGATGGAATTTAAAAATTTCAAAATGTGCCTAACGGTCTTCAAAAATAGTGCTGAAAAGAATATGAAACTGCAACAAAATTAAATTTCTTTTAAGGCGTTTTAAGATCAATATATTTTAGAAATAATATTTTTAAAATACACTGAAGTAATATAGTAATTATTAATTAACTAAATCATTACACTAAAGCACTTTTATGAAGGATTCTTTAGACATATACATAAATTCATAGCAAATTATATAGAATTCCGATTACGGAGGGAAAATACACGAAATATAGCTATTCTGACATATTTAAACACATATGTATGTACCTACATATATGCGAACTAATGGCAGTGAGACATTTTGACAAGTTTCGCCTATTCTTTTCATTAATTATTTTTTGATTGATTTTATACAAAATTCTAATTCATAATTTAATAAACAGAATATATGTACACAAATCGGTATTTCAAACTTTTCACAAAAATTATAAAAATTCAGCAGCTTTTTGCAACCACAAACTTTCAATTCGCTATTTTTGGGGAGATTCCAAGTTTTCGATTTTATGCATTTTTTCATATAAAGTGTGTTTGAAATTCAGTCAGAAATAAAATATCAAAAATCAACGGGATACTACAGAAACTTGCTCATTTATTTAATGGATTATAAAATTGCAAACTTAGAAACTTTCTCAAAATTCGTAATTAAAAGCTTGTTTTTGTGAAAATTTACTTTTCGTACCGCGTATTCACAAAAGAATTAAGCGTTTTGTAAATATTTCTCACGGCCCTTATTTTAATTTTCACTTTTTGTAATTTTTTAATCTATAATGTGATATGTGATTTTTTGTTATATATTGGCATTTTATGCTAAATTTCTATGTATGTTTTATGATTGTGCCAAAACAGGATGAATTGTGTCAAAAGTGCCTCTGAGTTTGAAAGTGCCAAAAATGGCACTATTGTGCCTACTTTTCCATCACTGATACCAGCTCCACATTCTAGCAAGGAAAAAACGAAACGCACGGAAAAAATTACATTGAAGATGGCACAACGCAGAAACCGGTTTATTATAAACTAAATTTGACAATGGAGGACGGAAATTCGTTCCAAAATATGTACATCAAACACCCAACCTGACAGAAACAAACACCACCAAAAAGGAAATGTATATAACTTTTACCCGTAGACTTGGTTTCTATGCGTTTATTTGATTAATACAATATTTAACTAACATATATTTTTATTTTATTTATTTTTTTTTTATGCAGCTAGATATACTTTAAAGTATTTTCCTTTATATTAAATACGCATACGAGTAGATAAGGTTCGCTTAAAACTCTGCATATATGCATATATATGCAAATATATATTTCAATTTACATATGTATATTTATTTTCGTTTTTTTTTTTATAAACGTTTATGCCTGTAGTAACAATTGCTCTTAGAATTTGTTTATGCAAAAGGTGTATGTATGTGCATACATATATAAGTACATAAGTCAGTTTACAAATTTCAAGTACATGCATACGTATGTACATACATACAGATAGCGTTGATATAAATTTTTAGTTTTACATGCATATCGTCCTTGAAATGTGGAAAGCCGTAACTAACATAAAATCCAAAATTCATTTTTTGACTTACTTGATGCATTTCAACGAATTACAAGTCCCCACATCGTTTTATATATATATATAAAAAAAAGTGTTAGTTACGGCTTTTAGCATTTCAGCTGGTAAGCAGTAATAGTATAATCAGATATTTTATTTAATGTAACACGAGCACATCAAACTCGTCTGGAATGGTGCTGTAGTCATCAGCAAATCACAGAAGAATTTATGTGCATTATTAGGTAAAAAAAAAGAAAGAAAACAACACATTGATTCATTACTGTAACATAACTACTTTGTTAAGATAATTATTTACGATTTAAATGGTAAACATCAAGGTGTATTAAACAAGGTGGTGTTGGGGCGACAGCTGAGTTTTTCGCCGTGGAGGCCATTACGTCAAAATGATGTGTTTGTTGTAACTCATACCAATGACAGTGTGGACATCAGCGTATAATTTGTTAGTGTAATTTTTTACTTATATACGGCCAACACCACCTTGTTAAATACGCCTTGGTAAACATCTTTGCATATTTATGTATATACAAACGAAATTATTATGTATCTAAACAAATTTATGTTCAATTACATTTTTCAGAGGAAATTAGCTATGCGATTGGTTGAGAGACTTGAAACAATTGAGAAATAGATTTAAATTTTAAACATTTTAGCTTAATTCTGGAACATGAAACGTATAATTTTTTATAATAGAACCAATTCTTTTGCTAAATCGCTCCACAAAGCAATACACGATTTTTTCTAATTCATCATAAACACTTTAATAAAATAATGCATAACCACGCTTCGTTGTATTTTATGCGGCAAACACAAGTGAAAAGCAAATGTTGTACATATGTATATCATCTTTTCGCAACCTTTTGACCAATCACACAGCCCCCAGAATTCAATCCCAACTAACTAAACAAACTAAAACTTAATAAAAACTGCCTTGCTATACGGAATCGAGCACACTTAATTGTTAATTGAAAACGAAGTAAAACAAATGGAAATGAACTGCAATCGGTATTTAACAATATCGCTTTTAGAGCAAAACAATGAAATAGTACTAATTTCAGTGGTGTTTGCGCGTAAATGCGAAAGCTTTATGCGTGTTTCGCATCAGTCAGCGCACAAAGCCAACAAACAACGCATCAGCAATGTATTGGACACAACCCTCGCATATGAAAACTTATAACTAAGTATAAGTTGCATTATTGCTCGATTACAGTAACCTCAATGGGGGGTATAAATTTCCATACATGCTCTTGTTGTTCATGATAGCTGGACGTGCTGCCTACGATGTCGCTAATTTGCAATGCGGGTGCGCTGCAATCTAGCGCTTGGGCAATGCCACCAGCTGGTTGTCCTACTTTGGATTGTGGCTTCGAGCAGCATTGTATGCTTGCTTTAAAGCGTCCGGGCGTAAAGAAAATCACTGTGCATTCGTGTTGAATTTGTGCGTGTTTTTGGAGAAGTGGTATTGAAACTCTGCGTGGTATAAGGAGAGATTATACATGTATATGCATATTTGCCTATTGAAAGCTTGTCGAGCTGTCTTACCTATTCGGACCGGATATGGCAACGCGTGTATCTAAATTATAATTTTCCATGCCATTCAGGTAGTCCTGATAGAATTTAATGGTGAGCACGAGATTACGCAACGGTTGCGCCGACTGATTGGAAACACTTACATTGAGCACAGCGCTTTGGCCAGCAGCGCATACGATTTCCGATTGTGGTTGGACGGGAGTATTTTGAAAGGAGACCGCTAATGAGTAGATGAAATGGAAAGAAAAATAAACCATTTTTTTACAAAGATCAAATATTTTTTTTTAACAATAAATGTAAACTTACTCCACTGCAGTGGCGATACGGTTGTCAAATCAATCATTGCAGGTGTGAGTACGATGCCGTGCAATGACGCTATACCCTGTATATCGGTGCCGGTGAGCAGCCAACTAATTTTAACGCGCTCTGCTATGTGCTCCGAACATAGTTTACTAATACTGTCGCTAAACGAGAGCAATTGTGTGCGGTAACAAAGGTCTGGAGAATAAATACCAAATTTTTTTTCTAGTTGAAACATTAATTTTGCTAAATCGACAGTTAAAGTTGCAATTACTTCTTGTAAAATTCAATACCTTTTTCCATATTCTCGGCGTACTCTGCTTCGCGCGCGGCCACCACCTGCTCGAGTGAGCAACGATCGACTGGTATGGGCACCCGGCAGCTCTCTTTGGCCTCGATCAGTATACTTTTATTGTTAGTATAGTTGAGTGACATTTCTTGAGCAGTTAAATTGGATACATCTAACACCAAATAAAATTGCGAGGGACTACAAAGGTTACAATAGAAATTTTTTTATCATACGCAATATATTTTTGTTCAAAGGGAATGCGCGATAAGGCCGATTAAGTACACACGCAGTAGATTTCATTAATCGTACTCACATTTCTGCAGGCAACACATCCCAGCTCGTTATTTGTGCACTTGGCAGCAGCTCCAGATTAAAAGATATTGCACATTGACGGCAGTAGCCCTCCTGCATACCCTCGCCACCCGAATATTTTATCCGAAACTGCGCTTCAACATGCTGCCCGTAGCCGTGAGCACCTTGTGCACCAGCCGCTGGCAAACTAAGCGCCGCTAATGAAGGCGTGCCACACGTTGTGGTGCCACCTGATGTTGGAGAACGAAAACTCAAATTATTGGGATCATTACGTCTACTGTATGCCGATTGTTGTTGTAGTTGTTGATTAGGCGAACCAACGCGCGACGGCAAACTTGCGTGACCTGATGATGAGAGCGTTGAGTACTGCAAAGAATGTGGACCACCACTAATGGTAGCAGCACCGGCATAATCTGCTTGCAATGCAGCCGTTACTGTACTGTTAGAATGTACCGAACCAGCATGCTGACTAACTATAGGACATACAAATTCAGCTTCGCCATAAATATGCACCATAAAATCAATTGAGCTGTTGGGTTGAATTGGAAGTTTCAACTATAGAAAAAAAAAAATATATATATATAAAAAAAAAATTGAAATATGTAAATAACTATTTCACCGACATGAGTGTTTCGTAATTAAAGACAATCATTTACCTGCAACTCTTTTTCATCGATTTTGAAGATTTTTTTTTGCACCTCCTGTTCTACATTCGAGTTAAAACTTAACTCCAAATGTTCCACTGGCAGTGGGCTCTCATTGGTGATGGTTATGATGCAAGATGATGATTCGCCATTGTATAGCGTTAAGCTGGCAGATGTAATGACAATGTCCGAGCTAGCCAGCTGACTAAAGGTTGCCGTTTGGGGCAACGACGTCTTGACAGAAATGCGTGGTAGCGCTGGTATCACATCTATTAAGTAGTTAGGTGGAAATTTGCGACCACGCATATTTTTCAAACGACAATTGGATTTGACTCCGAGCGCATGTGTGCTGTATCCTTGCACCTCCAATTGTCCCACTTCGATTGGTGTGCCGTGCAAAGTGACAGTTGTTGGGACGTGTGGTTGCAAAATTACGGTTTGTGGCAGCGATTCGAACACGATCCCATTGGTAAGTAGACGCATGTCGCTGACAGTCAACTCGAATGGCAGAGGATTGCGTAGTCGTAAAGTTACTTCACTCAGATTGTTTTGTGCCCAGAAGAAGGCTGAGCGTGTATTTCGCCTTAATAAACACGAAAATAAAATTAAATACCGACCGATACTTACCTATTTTATTCTTTTCTCGTTTCTTTTCACGCCTATCTATTGAGTTCAGGTGTATTGGCGTGAATAGGAAAGGTCCACTGTCTGCTTTCACGATTTTGATTCTCTGCGGACGTAAATGCGCCGGCAAATCCCGAACAACCAAGTCCATGCAATACGGCAAATCCGTTAGATTTGCTGGCGGTATAACAGTGCCGTTTTCTAGCACCAAAGGCACTGGTGAACCTTCACATTGCGCACTTAAATTTTGTAATTGCACACACATATCACTCTGCTCCGTTGGTGTCATGTGCGCCCATTGCGTTTGTAACAAAAAAGTCATGTGCCGCGTGGCCAACGCTGATGGCCCCAAACGTCGAGCTGCTGCGATAACACCTTGCAACAGATCTATTTGTAGCGCTGGCCAACCTGCAGCATTATCGATCACCTCCATGGGGTCAAGGGCAAGTGAGTAACCGGAAAAACTTTCCAACATTAGACGGTATGTTTGCGACCAATCGGGATTCGGGTTGCCTTGTTGTACAAATTTGAGCGCTGCTAGACGCTGAAAGAAGGCAGCCTTGCGTCGATAGCCGATTTGGTGATATAGATCGGTAATCACTTCGAAGCGCTTCACACGATCGGGTTCGCTCATGCGTACATTTAGGTAGAGTATATTTTGCAAAAACATGGCAACATCTAGCGGCCGATTTTGTTCTGTACAAATTCGAGCTGCCTTCAACGCCGCCTCCGTCTCTATGACTGCGGCATGTCCGTAATTACTATAATTAATAATTGCACGTCTATAGTAGCCAGGCAGTTCATCTGGCTTCAATATGTTGCCCGGTAATTCCGCAGTACGAGTGCCATGCTGTGCTGCCGATATGGTCGACGTAGAAGATGATGTCGGCGTACCTGATGTCGATGAATTCGTTGAAATGGAAGATACTGAAGAACACGATGAGGATGCGGATGTCATCTGTACTGTTGGAGTGCCAGCGTGACCATCAGCGTACGAGTTATGTTGTTGCTCGGGCGTATTCACTTTTACAGTCATATCACTAGCCCGCCATTTTTCCGGCGTGGCACGCAAAGGCGAAGCGCCTAAGAGAGAAATTATTTTGAAATAGCGAAAAGTTAAAAGGAGTTTGAATTTATACCATCCTGCAGAGAAGAGTTCCGATGAAGTGGCTCATTTTCTCGCAAATGTGGATACAGGAGTATCGCCGATGCTGAACACAATCCTTCTTCGCAAGCAGCTACCCACAACGCATCACCAATGGCACGCAAAGTTTCGCAAGCACTATGATAATGGCTTAATGCATACTCTACGAGTCCAGCTTGCAGCGATAAGTCAGCCAAATTTTTGGTAACTCTGCCGACACAGCGTTTACGATTGCTGCGCGATTCCATGTCGATTCCGACAAAGTCTCGCTTCTCTTTTGGTGCAAGCAATAAGCTTACTTTTTCTACCTTTTCCCGCGATCTATCTAAACGTTTCCATTCCAGAACCCAAAAAAGTGCATGTACGAACTCAGCAATATGCGGCTCTAAATCGTCACAAGAATCCTGTTCACGGTAGAAAAACGCTTGCGCCTTAAAATTAGATGGCGTCGTATATTCATCTTGCAATCGCATGCAATGTTTATCTACGTTACAGTTGACATTGACGTTATCATTGACTTGTGGAGCGGTAGTATCTTCACCTTGGTGGTCTTCACCAGCTGAATTCACTTTATCAACATGGTTGGCTGGCGATGGTCCAAAGAATATTGCACGTGAGTCATACAGTGTACCACTGTAGCGGACTTTCAGCGATTCATGTTGTCTACAAAGCTCATTTAACTCAGTTTGGCTTTCGAATTTACCAATAGTTATTAAACCTATAAGACGACGATGAGTTTGGAAATCACCCCAGTCGTTGTTCTCTACGGGATGATCGTGTATGTAGCGAACCCAAATATCACGGGTAGCGCCTGTGGAGTCTGCAAAAAATGTGAAACAAAATTACACTACTTCCTCTGCTGTGCACACTACTCACCATTAATTTTTACATTGCTGACGCGGCGCACCTTATCAAACGCTTTCTGAAGCGAACGTGGCTTAGATGGTCCTACGCCACGCAGCAGCACCAACAAACAACCATGATGTAGCGCATTTTGCTCGTAGTCTGGCCGGGACATAATGGTTTCGCCGGCCTCATGCGACAATATTAGACCGACATTCGCCCGCATTTATCCTTTATTTATTGGAGTTCTTTGCGCAACATTTGGACAATCCGCTTTCTTTATACCATGAAGATTTCCTGCTATCTTTGGAATATCTAAATTCATACCCTTTTCATTTACTTTTTGCATTTTTACATATTTATTTTATGGGAAATGTTTAGTTATTGGTCCATCGTTTTTCGGGTTGGGGCGTGGCCCCCCAAACCCCCTCATTCGAAAGGGGACAGTCGCCACTTTACGAAAAGCCCCACCCCCCTTGGGGACCTCCCACAGACCCCTAGGGAGCCGTTTGAAAATGGGGTAAAAACGGCATTTTCCGAGGCAAACTGGCAGTTTGAAGTGGAATATAACCCAACTAACGAGAACCGTGGGATTTTTAAATAAAAGAAATTATCCCAAGTTGGTTATCAGGCGATTTGAAAAAAAAATAAACTTAAAAAAAAATTAACTAAAAATATTGTGAAATTAAGAAAAAAGCGACAGATAGAAATGTTGTAGTCTTAGTAATATGATAGTATTTTAGCGCAGAACTTCTTTTTGCGTAGGCGGCCTTCGGCCGCACTTAGGGATTATAACCCTCACTACGTAGAATTCTCTTCTGTGTTGCCAAAGAAAGGGGGCTGAACACGTTTTGCAGAGAACACCTTTCTGCGTAGGCGGCCTTCGGCCGCACTTAGGGATTATAACCCTCACTACGTAGAATTCTCTTCTGTGTTGCCAAAGAAAGGGGGCTGAACACCTTTTGCAGAGAACACCTTTCTGCGTAGGCGGCCTTCGGCCGCTCTTAGGGATTATAACCCTCAGGCAGTAGAATTCTCCTTTCTGTTTTGCGAAGAAAAGGAGCTAAACACCTTTTGCAGAGAACACCTTTGTATATTTTTAATGCTTACTGGGTTATATCCTATCTTCTTTTGTCTCTCATTCTTTTGCATATTTCGGAGTTTGACAGCTGAACTCCGTCATTTAATTTGCATGTGCAACCAAAGTCAGACGCATGATTTTGAAGGTGTTTTTATTTAATGAATTGTGATTAATTCTTCTTCTTCTTATTTGGCGCTGTAACCGCCTAAGCGATTTTGGCCGAGTCCAAAACAGCACGCCAGTCATTTCTCTTCTGTGCTAACTGACGCCAATGGAAAATGCCAAGTGAAGCCAAGTCCTTCTCCACCTGGTCTTTCCAACGCAGAGGAGGCCTTCCTCTTCCTCTGTTCCCTGTTGTGATTAATTGGTTAATATTAAAGTCGTAAATCAAGTTATAACTAATCGAGTAAAGTGTAAAGTGAAGGGGAATACAAAAATGAATTGGTGAAGTGGCTGCTTTAAGGAGAATAGGAGTGATAAATGTACGCTAATTTCCAAATTTTACAAAAAAGGGCATATTTCAAACCCAATTTGTAAATAAATTAGTGACCAAAAATTAGAATAGTGGATGTTAAAATAATGGGTAGACCCTTGGCTACAAGTGTGTGCAATTTTCTTTTTGATCGGGTCACCCCTTTGGACGCAATACCCCGAAATAGGTGGGCCACTTACTAAACAGTACCCTATTTTATTTTTACAACAACAATTAATATATTACAGACAACTAACAATTTTTCAAATTTGGGTTTTGCCACTTTTCACTCGGTCAAAGTGCCTCCTCTTCCATCAAACGCACACATGCACCTACGCCCCTCCGACACTTTCACTTAAACGGAATAATGTTTTCCAAAAGTGCTACAGATATTTGAAGTATCCAACTTAAACTTTACACTTAATAAGGTAAAGTGTGATGTTTTAAATCAAATAACACCAAATTAATGCTAAAATGTTGATTTATCTAAAATTACTATTTATCATTGTGTACAAATACAAGTGAGATATCTTAGGAATAGACGTCGTCCTGGGCCACAGCTGCGATCATCTGTTTTTTAGAGTTGCTTATTTTGGTCTAAACCGCGCTTTTTTGACCTGAGTTGCATTAAATAGTCTCTTAAAACTTGGTAATTTGTTGTTCAAATGGTAACATATATGCCCAAAAACTTGAAAAATATTAGATGATTGCTTTTAAAAAATGCTATTTATAAAATTTGGTTTTGATTGCGACATTATAAATATTCAGATTATAAAAGTTTTTCACATATGGTTTAAGATTTTAAAGCTTTTAAAAAGTACGGTAGAATGCAACAATGTGCTTGGATTTGTTTGCTTCTTCGTCAGCTTATTCGTTTGCAGACTAGAAAAATGGCGAACATCCATCATAATACTGATTCAAAATACACATCTTTCACTGGACAGACAAATGGGTGCGCGCAGCAAAATACAGCCCTAATGGTAAGTTAATTTCATCGTGCGGCGACAAGTTAAGAATTTGCGATACATTTTCAGGCGAATGTATGCGAACGTTCACCGGGGGAAGAGGTATGGGACGACAGCTGGCATGGCATCCAGACGGCAATCTGGTGGCTTTAGCATTAAGTTGTAACAGCGTTAAGATATTTGACAAAGCTGAAGGCGAGCTAATACAGTGCATCCGTCGCCGGAGAATGATGTTGCATTTCACCCAAGTGGAAATTTCTTGGTGACTGGCGGCGATGACGATACAATAAGATTGCTTGATTTATTAGAAGGTCGGCCAATTTATACACGGTAGTAGTGCACTTTAGCGGAACCATATAATATAAATTATTTCCTGTATTCAACAGTTGCTCGTTTGGAAATCTAATTTGCATACATTTGATGCCAATAGCTCGCAACAAACAAGCCAGTTCTCAAAGAGCCCAAATTGATTTTAGTCATGCAACAGCTCCACATAACTCCGCCATAGACACACCAGTTGCTGGAGTACCAAAAAGCTGTGATCACAGCATTAATTGATCCACGACAATCGGTGGCATATGGAATGCGTGATGGAAATTTTCTGGTGCTTGATAGCCAATATACTACAAGAGTGGAACGCTACAAGTGAAACGCTGTGATAGATTTTTTCTTAAATTTCCATCTTTTATTTGCAGTTACATTAAGAAGCTCATAGAGGACAGAGCGGTTGGTGAGGAAGGTGTCGAGTTACTGCAGTACTGCAACTGGGAAAATCCGCATTTCACACGTGCCCCACTCGTATGGAATAGTAACTTATGTCAAAAGGCTGGTTTTAGTATAATGCGGCATTCGCTGCATACCCTCACTGGCGCCGAGCCGCTGAAGAAATTTTGGATAAATAAACGTGCAAGAAATAGTTCCAATACTAGCACGTCCATATTCTTGTTAAGGGTCATCAAAAAATTCCTTGTGTTGTAAATAATAAAGGCAATGCCGGATTATACTAAAGCCAGCTTCCCGACATAAACTACTATTCCATACGAACACAGAAATATAAATGTATCTAAAACTGAATAACTCAAATCAAATTGGATTGCATTTGCATAATATACCTAATATTGGAATCTGTTTTGATCGTAAAAAATACAACTTGCAATCATTTAGATTATAGTTTTGAAAGAAATTGATTGCAATCGTAAATTGTGTAAAAATTGTTAATAACAATCTGCCTTAAATTTATTTTCCCCATGTAACGGTTATAAAATACGTTAAATCCGCACTATCTGCATTAACAAAAAATATACATTGGAATATTTAAAATAAAACGATTCATATTTTCTAATAAGAATTGTTTCTTAATTGAAAGTATTTAATACTAATATAATGTAGTGGTTAATGTTTTAAAATGAATTCGCAATATGTCCGCAGCTCAGGTTGATTTGAAGAAATCCGTTTAAATTTTTCGAATTACATCTACTTGAATACAAGATAGGCACGGTTGCATACAAATGGTAGTTCCGTAAATATTTAAAATATGTTAGTTCATTCAATATTTGCATCTGGGCCAATAAATAACAAATATAGCCGAAAAAAACAAAGTTTCGATTAAAACGAGTTTTTATAACCCCCCATAAAATTCCGATTAATTTTAAATAAAATAACGATATTTTTTCATGGAGAGGTATTTTTTTAATATACCTTGTTTATACCTACACAAAAACCGGATTAGCAAAAAACCGATTGGACTCAGCATATATTTCTTTACAGCATTTATCCCCCTGTCTTTATAGCGCACTCGATAAAGTCTTATTCAAAAGTAAACAAAATCTGCTATTTTTAAACGACATTTTTTTAATAAATAATTTGCGCGGTTGACCGAAATGGAAACAAACAATAATTGTAAAGTTTTATAACAATAATTCGAATTTAAAGAAAACCAGCCTATTGTCACTTCACTTTCCAATGGTGCTGATTTCTGCAAGAATTATTTAGCGATTTAGAGCATAATCAACAATATATGCACATAAATATGTATTATTTCACAGATCTCAGGGTCAGTTTAGAAATACGTCACCAAAATTATATAAAATTTAAGTAGGAATTATTTTTATTTATAACGTAAAAGCGCTATCTGATCCAATCTGATAAGTATATTTCCCCTAAAGTTAACCCATTTTATTTAATTTGTCTCTCGTGAAAATATATATTTTATTTAAAATTTTCAGATATGTACATATATTTTAAATTTTTGCTTTAATTTTTGTCTCCTTTTAATATTTAATTAGATACCTTAAGATTAAAATAAGCTTAAAACGAAACAGCACAGCAACCCTTTTCTGTTCATCTTGAGAACACAAAACCCTCTATTGTTAAAATTCGGCGCTGCATAAAATCCTGGTTTTTATATTTTCCAACAAAATACTACTTCGCAACCCTGGATTTTCACGAAGCGTTTCATTCGGGTCGTAGTTTTGCTACTTCGGGCCATTCGGTGTTGTATGCCATATTGGCTGCCATATTGTTCACACTGTCATCGCCATATTGAACACCCTGTCAACTATCTGTCAACCCTAAGATATCTCACTTGTAAGTTCTGAACACATTGAAAACAACGAGCTACAGACCACAGCTTCCAATTTGTCATCTTCATTATCTAAACGCTTTGTCGAGGGCGACATGATTTCTTTAAACGCGGCAGCGACATCATGAATTTGTATGAGTTTGACATAAAAGAAGAGGAAGAACCTTATCTGTCGCCAGAAAAATAGAAATAGATCTAATCTGGCCACAACCACAGCCGTCGCGTAGCCCGGTCGTCGCCAAAATAATTATCTACATAAGAGTACGTGTTAAAATAATTTGACAGCTGTGGTTTGTAGCTCGTCGTTTCCATTGTGTTCGGGCTAGTATTCTTCCACAATGCTATTTATTGAGCCAATCAGTATTTTTCTTAAGTTCTGAACACATTGAAAACGACGAGCTACGGACCACAGCTTCCAATTTGTCATCTTCATTATCTAAACGCTTTGTCGATGGCGACATGATTTCTTTGAACGCGGCAGCGACTTCATGAATTTGTATGAGTTTGACATAAAAGAAGAGGAAGAACCTTATCTGTCGCCAGAAAAATAGAAATAGATCTAATCTGGCCACAACCACAGCCGTCGCGTAGCCCGGTCGTCGCCAAAATAATTATCTACATAAGAGTACGTGTTAAAATAATTTGACAGCTGTGGTTTGTAGCTCGTCGTTTTCATTGTGTTCGGGCTATTATCCGCTGCGAATAAACGTCAAATATTTGTTGTTGTTGCGAACCGTCAAAAACACCTGGAAAATTAATTGGAAGGCGGTAGCAGAATTCATTGGAAACAACCCGAAATACAGGGTAATAAACACGAGTTCTCACCCTGTACTACCGGTAGTACACACAAAATCACGAGGACATTATGTTGTTATTTTTTCATTTTCTAAAGCGAAGCGCACATTGGCGCGATTCTGTCGTTGCGAATCCGCAAGCCCAAAAATTACAACAATGCTACCCATACATTTTAATGCGCTAGCGCACACTTGCACGGTTCCGTCGCTGCGAATTTTTCGAACATTCGATGTTCCTCTCTATTGACGCGTTCGAAACGCGGCTTGCAGCGTTTTGAAGGCGTCAAAGAAGAAGAAGAAAGGTGTCACAGCAATAAAGGCAAAGAAAAAAAAAACGTGTAATGTACAAAAACTAATAAAAACGTTCGTAATAATAGTATTTTGTACGATTTGGGCACGCCGAGTGCGAAAATACACGAAATAAAGGGAAAATTGAGTGAATTGTACATCGGAAATCGACGCGAAAAAATCGCTCAAGTGTGCGCACGTTTGCGGATTCGAAGTTAACAGCCGAATTCGCAACGTATTCGCAACGATGGAATCGCGCTAATGTGCGCTTCGCTTTATTTTGAATGCAATCTTACGATTTAAAAATCAAATTCTAAAGAATGCTCGTTCCAAATAAATCTTTTTATAATCGCCAATTCCATGTGAATAAATTGTTCTCATAACTTAACATGCAAAACAAAAACAAATTAGGAAAAATTATTTTTGCTTTGCTTTATAATTTTTGGGAATATTTGTGACATGAAATTCGTGATTCGTGATGAAATTCGTAAAAATTTACTTTGAAATTTCTGATCAGATTTTGCAAAAAATTAGGCTTATGCCCGTATGATACTACGTTTTTTTCTTGTATTTCGAGTGTATTTTACGCTGTATTTTGAAAGAAAGAGAAGGTCACATACAATTTCAGTACTTGTGTAAGCGAGTAAGCTATATACCAAAAAACAAACAAAAACTAACGAAAAACAAACTAGGTTGTTAAATAAAGATTAAGGAGCTGAAACAAGAGTTGGAAAAGCGTAATTTGGCCACCTCCGGAAGGAAAGTGGAATTGTTATCCAGGTTGCGGGAGGCTATGGAAGCTGAAGGCATCGACGTGGACAAATACGACTTCCAGGGTATGAAGTTGCTTGTTCGTCGAAGGATGTGCAGCAGACATCCGGGAAGGTTGAAGAACAGCAAAAGGCTCTTAGTTCATCAACAGCTATAGACATGAAAACGTTATTGGCTGCCATGTCACAGATGTCATCACAGCTGTCATCCCAGATGCAAACGCTGGAGACACGTATATCTTCACAGGTATCAGCGCAGGTGTCATCCCGGCTAGAAACTCAGCTAGTGGCACAAGAGACACGTATATCATCCCAGCTGGAAGCACAGGATGCAAAAATTACACAAATACAGGACAAAATCGAAGAGAGACAGGATAAAGTTGAGACAAAGGTAGAGGAGTTGGAAGGTCGTCTTCGTGATTTACAGTTGAATCGTCCAGCTACTTCGACGAACGCTCCCAAGGTAAAAACTCCAACCTTTGACGGCACGACTCCTTTCCAGGTCTTTAAGCTGCAGTTCGACAAGACAGCTACAGCAAATCACTGGAGCATGGAGGATAAATCCGCTGCACTGTTCGTTGCATTAAAAGGACCTGCAGCGGAAATATTGCAGACTGTTCCTGATTGTGAAAGGAACAGTTACGATGCGTTAATGGGTGCAGTGGAAAGACGTTATGGTAGCGAGCACAGGAGACAGATTTACCAGATGGAGCTGAAGAATCGCTGCCAGAAATCCAACGAGACTTTACAGAAATTCGCCTCCGAGATTGAAAGGTTGGCTCATTTGGCAATTGGAGATGCAACTGGTGGGCACCTCGAAAGAGTAAAAATCCAGAGGTTCATCAACGGAATGCGGGACGTGTATACCAAGCGAGAGACGTACGCGAATCCCAAGCCAACATTGGTGAAACTGTCTCGTATGCTCAGACGCGTGAAACGGCGGTACTCCTAAGTAAGCACATCGCGTGGAAGTGGAGACACCGGACGAGACTAATGAAATGCTGAAGAAGATTATCCAACTGCTGGGCGAGAAAAACAATGGCTCTGGCAAATGTTTTGAATGTGGAAAGCCAGGCCACTTCGCCCGCGATTGCGGTGCAAGTTCCAGTGGGCTCAACAATTCAGCAGGACGCAAACGCAGGGCTGAAGGAGACGAAGCCAACTCCAATCTGTCGTTAAACTGAAACGAGCCAGCAGGAAGGGCCGCGTGCTGGCTCCAGAAGTTGAAGGGCCCATAATCTCCGTCTCACAAATTGGCCGGAAAGCATGCAACCTCACTGTTGGTGGATGTGTGAATGGGCAGGAGAGACTACTGACGGTGGATACTGGAGCGACACATTCCATTATTCGACCGGATTTGGCCACTTTTAATGTGAAGCCACTACCTGGAGCAAAGCTGCAGACTGCAACTGGTGAAGACACCCAAGTATTAGGAGAAGTACCATGCGAGGTAATAATCGACGATGTGGCCTCGTACACTAAGTTTATAGTGGCAGACATTGTGGATGAAGTCATCATCGGCGTGGATTTCTTACTTGGCCAAGGCATGCAGATTGACCTCCAGAGAATGATCCTGACAGATCGTCACAGGAAAGTGCCACTTAGGGTTGGTTACGACAGCCAGTACTGCAGCAGACGGTTAGTCTTAGAGGAAGTGCCTAAGATTCCACCAGAAAAGGAAGTGGTTAGTTGGGAAGAGGTTCACAGTGATGGAGACGAAATGGTTTCGTCAGGAGAAGGAAGTGGTTCACCGATACAAGAAAAGCGTGACGGTTCCGCCAGCTCAGTGAACAAGAGGTCGCAACAAAGAAGTGGTCATGGCGAGCCAGGCAGTGTTTCCGGCAGGAGGAAAGCCACTGAACCACGTTGCATTGGTGATACGCCGGTGGCCGGAAATGGAAGCGGCTGTGAAAGCAGTAGGCGCGCTTTGAAGTGTCCCGAAAAAGGTGGTCGGAAAAGGCGAGCAATTAAGTCGAAAGCAAAGGTTGAGATTATACATGTCCGGTCAATGAAGTTAGCATCGGCGGAAGAGCAAGATACGAACCGACGGCGGGAATTTCAGCGTAAGGATCCGGATGTAACAAGATGTGCTGAAGGCAGTGCAGCACGAAGGCGGGAGTCAGGGTGTCAGGGACAGATGATGCGGCATAGATCCGAAAAGGGTGCCCACGAGAAGAGACATGGTCTGGTCACCACCAGTGGCCGGCAGAAGCACGACCATGTGAGATGGTGCACTCCCGGAGATAAGCCGGAAGCAATGTCCAGTAACGCACTGTGGTTGTACATGTCGCAGCAGAAGAAAAGCTTTACCTCCAAGCAAAGACTTGACTGGAAAGATCCGTTGAAGATTGACAAACGGCTGAAGGACGCAGTGCATCAAATCCAGACAATGGGGAGACCGAGGACCAAGATGAAAGTGGTCCACTTCGAAAGACTTGCAGCTGTTGGAGCGGCAAGTGTGTCTGATCGGGACGATCAGACTTAGGTGGAGGGCAGTGTGGCGAATACTGCGGCAACACAAAGCGAACAACGAGAAATAGGCAGAATTTTCGAGGAATGACGTAGAATGTTCCACAAAGAGAAACGTTAAGTTGGATGAACACTGCGAACAGCGAGAGAAAGAGAATGAGCGATAAACTTCAGAATGTTCTAGAGTTGCCATAAGTGCCAGCGCAGGTATATAAGGGCGCCGCCACAGCGAGGTGGGTTAGTTACAAGGCAGCAAGCTACAAGTAAAGTGAGCGGAGAATTGAGTTGCGAATAAGCAAGCTATAAGTTTAATTATGTTAACAAGTAGTAAAGCGTTGTTATTGCTTTAACAAGTATTGTAAAGTGTTTTTACTGTATTAGCAAGTATTGTAAATTGTTTGTTGCACAATAAAGTTAATTGTACTACAATTTGGTCATCGTTAGCATTCATTTAACAATCCAGCGATACGAGCCCGAGTATATTTGGGAAATCCCTCAAGGTTTCGAGGATAATCGTAACATTACTTGTTTCTTTTGCTTCATCTTGTCAGATCTTGTGTAGTTGGATCATGGGCTTAATGTATGCACGAGTGAAAACTATCGATAGCGCTTACAAAACCGCCGATGCTTTCGATAGTCAAAAACCATCGATACTATTGCTAGTGCCATCGAGAGTTTTCCAGCCCTAATTGCAATTGTCTATCAATTTTTCTTATTTCGTTTTTGCCTTTTTATCTTGGGACTTGGGACGTGAAATAAACAATTTCCATTTTATCAATAAAACTATGAATTTATTGCCCAAATCACACGAGGAGTTCGCCCAGCCGGAATACTGGAACTCTTTCTTCACGAAACGTGGCGAGAAGGCTTTCGAATGGTTAGTTTACGTGAGCAACATTACTCTACTTCGCATTAACTATTATCACTTTTAATTTCTCACCTTAAGGTATGGCGAATACTTGGAATTGTGTGAGCATATACACAAATATGTAAAAAATACAGACCAAATACTAATGCTTGGTTGTGGTAATTCACAACTTAGCATGGACATGTACGACTCGGGTTTTAGGTAAGTGACCGGCAAGTAAAAATGCTAAAAATTCGACCCTTGTGCTTTTATTTTCAGAAATATCACCAACATCGACGGTGGCTATACGTAAAATGCTGGAGCTGAATGAAAACGTGTGAACATGAAATTCTTGCAAATGGACGCTACACAAATGACCTTTGAGGATGAGTGCTTTTCTGTGGCGTTGGATAAAGGTACATTAGACGCGCTCTTTGTCGATGATACATCCGAAGTACAGGCCACAGTGGAGCGTTATTTCAATGAAATTAAGCGCACGATGCGGTAAGAATCCGTAACATTTTCATTAAAAACAACGAGTTCAAACTGATTTGTTTTTCTAGTAATGGTGGACGCTACTTGTGCATAACACTGTTACAAGAACACATATTACGTTACATTTTAAATTACTTTCCGCGTAATGGTTTTATGTTGCGCATAGTGCATTGTGCAGACGCAGACCGCGCTAATCAGGAAAAGAGTGGCGACAATCCAGAAGTTATGGCAATGCCAGTTTTTCTTGTTGTTGCTACCAAATTTAAGGCCTTACCAATACCGGTGTGTTTTGCCTTACTCTTTATGTTGTTTTCTTAAATAATAAAATGAATTTTTGAAGATCCTAGAATTTAGCTTGGGTAAGGACAAAATGCAACGTTTATCAAACGCTGAAGAACTTACAAATGCAGTTGCTGCTGTGCAAAAAGCGGCGCTAATTTGTAATGGACTCGCACGTACAAATATTGCTGGTTAGTAAAAAGTGTTTGTCAGTTGTGAATATATGTATGTATGTAGCTAAAACTTCTGCTGGTTTGTAGGTCACAACGAGGTTGTGATGGACTTATGCCAACCGGGCGAATCAAATCCCCGCTACACAGTACATGTACTAGACCAACCACCGGCAAGGGGGTTGGGTAAATTTGCTGCCTTTATAGTACCTCAGGGCAGGTAAATAAAAATAACTTCCCACTTAATTTTATACATAAGTATATGTACATACAGCACATTTGCTGCAAACTCGATAAAAACGGCATTAAATTTTGAACTTACATATCGAGCCCTAACCGCCAAAATAACGTAAGCGACATTTTTTT